TAGTGTTACGCTACTTTAATATGATTGCTTCACAACAAGAAGTTTCAGGTGTTCAAGTTGCATCATATCTAATGAACTATGGTGACCACTACACTACACATACTTTCAAAAATCTTTTTCTCATTTCAATCGAAAACTATCTACAAACAGAACTAAATAAAGCACGAATTAACGAAAAAGAAATTATTGAAGAGAGAATAGATGGTAGAACTTTTTAAAATAATTGTATAGATTTTTAATATGTAGTTTTCTAGAGACTTCAACGCCTTTCTACGATGAACAAGGAGAAGATAAAAACGAAATCGAAGAACAATTTTTATTAGAACCCACAAAAACCAACAGCGGGGATCAGTATGTCTTGGTCAATACTCGTCTTGACTATCAGTATTGATCAAAGGATCTAAGTACATTGTGCTTATATGACTTTGTGAGCCATTTTCACAAGAAGGTTATCGACAAATCGGATCGTCATTTACTAAAGAATGTAACCGATCCTCAAGGCCGACAATTACCTACAGAAGAAACGAAAATGAATGAACGTCATACATTTGACAGCGCACATCCACAATCAACATCTCATCTCATAATTAAACGTTCCGTTCCAGTAGTACCAGTTCTGATAGGTCCTCAAATACCTTGCCGTTAACGAGAAGAAACACATGAACGTTATTGTCGCGCGTTGTTAACATTATTCGTGCCATGGTGATCAGTCCAGAACCTTTATGCAACGAACGAGACATGGTCTGAAGCATTGGAAGCTCGAAGGTTATTGATCTCTCCCAACTCGCTTAAGATTATAGAAAATATAGAACTTTTGCACGAATGCAAACACGATTGGGATGAGCATCTTCATCAAGTTCTTTTAGAAGCCCAAAATGACAACAGCATTGACCCTATTTTGATGCCTAACTACTATGAAGGCGAAGAAAATGCAGAAGAAGACGATCCTGAACAACTTTTGCATTTGCTCTCCATTGTAAATGAGACTACCACAAACGCTTATTCTGCATTGACAGGTACTCAGGAACAACGCTATGTTCACGATGCATTACAAGCAATTAATAATACAGATAGATTTGCATTACTAAATGGTGAGTTAATTACTGCTATATTTCGAAAATATTTTGTTTTGATTTAGGCAGCAGACACATTTGGGACCAAAATAATTATGGCACCATACACGACATCAACACACTTGTGGTAGCTCACGCACATCACAGCGTCATGATTAAAGGATGGAAACGTGACATTGAAGGTCGACGAGATGAAGCAAGAAACTATTTAATTTCAGGTGAAAATACTCTGGAAGTGCGAGATGATGAAACACAGATTGAAGTCGTAGCCACTGAAATTCCAACAAGTCCCATTAAAACGAGAGCTACAATAGTTCCACCTGTGACTACAACCAATGCAATATTATTTCCAACAAAACAAGATATTATCAGACAATTTACACTAAATACTCAGCAAAAATATGCTTTTATGATTATAACTAGTCACTTAGATGGCGAAAATCATGCTTATACCGGTATATTTTATTGATTTTGTTATTGAAAGTTTTGAATAGTCTTGATATTTAGATACTATCGATAATCAGTTATTAATGTGCATACCTGGTTGCGGTGGTACTGGAAAATCTCAGTTGATTCGTGCAATTACCAAATATTTCCAAGTAACCAAGAGGGACAAGATGTTGCGTAAACTGGCACCAACGTCTATAGCAGCAGCTGAAATTGACGGATTAACTATCCATTCATTTTTAGGTGAAAGTCGCAAAAACAGTAAAAAGAAACAAACCCGTACATTTAGATCCGGCGATACGAAATTGGAAAATGAATGGCGTCATGTGAAGTACTTGATAATCGATGAGATGAGCATGGTAGGACTTAGTCTCTTAGCTCGTCTAAATCGAATAGTGAAAACAGCGAAGCACATAAATTCTGAGATACCTTTCGGTGGTGTCAATGTCATTTTCTTCGGCGACTACCTTCAATATTCTCCTGTTTTGGACAAACCTCTCTACTGTAGCTGCGCACCGACACAACAAGTTACAGAACGTCAGATAGATATGTTGTGTGCACAGAAGCTTATGTCTGAAATAAACTGCGTTGTTGAATTAACTCAGCAAATGCGAACCGAAGACATAAGATATTTGGAGCTTTTAAATAGATTAAGACACGGGCAATCGACAATAGAAGATTACCAACTTCTGTGTACGAGAGTCATAGGAAATCCAAAACTTCAAGTATCTCTACAACAAAAGCCATGGAACGAAGTATGTACATTCATTTTCTCTGTGTATCACATTACTTTTCTTTCAATAGGCTCCAATATTGGTTTTTCGGAATACACTACGCACTCAAATTAACAATAGAGCTGTCTTAAACAAAACAATGGAAATGGGACTTACCCCAATTGTATGCATTGCTCAAGATTATATTCAAGGAAAAACTGTGGATGATTTATGATTATGTCAAGCAATACTTGAACTACCTGATAATAAAACAGAACATTTTCCAGGCTATTTATCTCTCGTACCAGGAATGCCAGTTTTACTCACAGAAAACATCGCTACCGAACTGGGACTCTCCAACGGCACACGTGGAATCTTTCATCAACTTGTATACGATGAATCACCAGAAGATGTTCGATACCAGGATAAGAATTTTCCACCAAATACCAAGTTTATAACACAACCAAAGTACGCTTTAGTACAATTTCCTGGTTGCAAACTTGATAACAAACTTGCTGAACTGCAGTCCAAAATAGTTCCTATAGCTATTAGTGAACAAACATTCTTGTTTGACGCCAAGGAACTTCTTCCAGAAAATATAGCAAAAGCGGCCAAAATAAACAAGAAAACAAGAAAACTCTCGGTCAAACGTAAAGCACTTCCGCTTATACCCGCATATAGCATGACAACATATAAAAGCCAAGGCCAAACACTCGGTAAAATTATTGTCGATCTGGTCATGCCTCCTGGACCACTCGTAGTTGCATCGGTTTATGTTCCATTATCTCGTGTAAAGAGACTTGACGATATACTTATTATACGTTCATTTGAATTTGCAACACTTCAAGTTAAATCATCAACGGCCCAAATAGAAGAACTTAAACGATTAGATAGAATAGCACAAGATACTCGGAAACGCTTTCAATTCATTGTTTAAAACAACAACATTTTAACAGTGGCGTGATCTTCAGAAAAACCATCTAACTCATAAAAAAACTATATTGCATGCTCGAAATCTGTTCATTTCACTTTTCTAGCTCATAGATCATTTACAAAGCTTGTACCAATTTCTCTTTCAAATAAAAGCTATAAATATAAAAGGAGAATGAAAAGAATTTAAAGGATGTTGAAGAACAATATCCATCAAAAGTCATTGTCACTGCTGCATTCCATCAGCATTCCAAGCAGTGTATGACAGCTATGCACTAAAACAGAAGCTAGATACGACACAAGTCATATAAGAAAACTTTCCTCAGTAAGGTTTTCAGACAAGAACAGTAATGTCAATGCAATTTTCTTAGAAACATCGGCGCTCACACTCACAACTGCTCTTTGGAGTGACCCCATCGTAACAAACCGAGAAACCAGTCCGAGACCTAAACGAAACGGAACCACCCTCATTGCACTAAATAAACTTCCAGAAACAGCTAGCACAATAACATTAGCTGTCAGACACGACTAAAATTTCCAGAATCCACATAAGAATACTTGCCCAATTGGTCTTCCAACCAAACTCAAATATAAACTTTCAGTTTGAAACACATAAAGCGTGTGTTGGTGTAGGTGTGGGTGGGGTGTGCGTGCGTTGGTGTCGGATGTGGGTGTGGGTGCGGGTGCGGGTGTGCGTGTTGTGGGGTGCGGCACTATGGATGTGAGATATGCGCATAGGCGTTGGTGTGCATATAAATATATTTAATTTAATTCCAAATCCACACCAACACCAACACCCTCATACGCACACCCGCACCAACCTGAAAATCTATAATTGGTCCAAATGATCACTCTAGAAATCTGATTGGCGCATAGGCAGACCGCGAAAACCTATGATTCATTCAAATGTCCACTCTAGAAATGTGATTAGCAGATAGCCAGACTGTGAAAACCTATGATTGGCCCAAATTCCAACTCTCGAAATCTGATTGGCGCATAGGCAGACCGTGAAAACTTATGATTGGTCCAAATAGTCATTCTACAAAAACCGATTGGCGCATAACTAGACCGCGAAAACCTATGACTGCTCCAAACGCTTATCCTCGAAATCTGATTGCCGCATAGCCAGACCGTGAAAACCTATGATTCGTTCAAATGGCCACTCTATAAATATGATTGGCGCAGAGTAAGATCCTGAAAACCTATGATTGGCCCAAATTCCAATTCTCGAAATCTGATTGGCGCATAGCCAGACCGTGAAAACCAATGGTTGGTCCAAATTTCAACTCTCGAAATCTGATTGGCACATAGCCAGACTGTGAAAAACTATGATTGGTCCAAATTTCAACTCTCGAAATCCGATTGGCGCATAGCTAGACCGTGAAAACCTATGATTGGTCCAAATTCCAACTCTCAAAATCTCATGGGTGCATAGCCAGTCTGTGAAAACCTATGATTGGTCCAAGTTCCAACTCTCGAAATCCGATTGGCGCATAGCTAGATCATGAAAACCTATGATTGGTCGAAATTTCAACTCTCGAAATCTCATTGGTACATAGCCAGCCCGTGAAAATCTATGATTGGTCGAAATTCCGACTCTCGAAATCTTATTGGATCGTAGGTAGAACCTGAAAACCTATAATTGGCTGAAAATCTGTCACCTGAAATCTCATTGGCTGGAATGCAGACGAAGCAGACATCTGATTGGTCCAGGTTTTAGGGACTGTAGACTAATCCAATGGCTGAGGTTAAGTTTTGTTGTAAGATCGATGATGTGATAGGTCAAAAAAACATTTTTTCGTTCTGTGCGAACGAACGAACGAACGAAGTTACGAAGTTACGAACTTACGAAGTTACGAACATACGAACCTAACTCGGTGTATGACCCTCCTTTCAGTAGAGGGAACAAATTTAAACCCATGCCAATAGCATCTGTGGCGACCATTATTTTACATGGATCATTTGGATCATTAAAACGTTGAGCTTGTAATAATTTCGTACCTAATTGAAATTTGAATTTTTTTTTATTTTTATAAAATTAAAATTAAAAGGTAATTAACCTGGTGGTAATGATCCATAAATAACAGCTACTTCATGACCACGTCTTTCTAATTCACGTGTTATATGAAATATATCATTTTTACTGAAGCATACAAAGCAATCGCCCGATTTGACATTATCGAATGTTTCTAAATTATTGCTAAAAAGCGTAAGTTAGTCAATTCGTTCTATTTTAATTTAATAAGATGACAATATCAAATCTCCAAAACAGACACATTCAACATATTTTATGTTGCAAAAAAAAAATATAAAACATTTTATAGAATAGAATCATTTCTATGTTAAATACAAACAAATAGGTAATATTTTAAGATTTTGAAGGAATAGCTGTTAGCGCAACCTTTGCAGAATTAAAATGTAAAACATGATGTGGGTGCGGTTGCTAATCACAGGAATAGCGTTGTGAATTTTTTCTTTTTCCCTTTTAGATTGTGTTTAATAAAATCAGTATGATGTTGAGAATAAGTATGGAAATATGCATCAAAAAGTCTATGTGTTATTGGAAGAAATTCCACAATTAAATTTTACTACTTCTACTCACCCTGAAATTTTATACTCTACTGCCTACATGTAAAATTTTGATACTAGTGTGTTTTTTTGATATGTTGAATCCAAATCCGATGTTTATTTTCCATCGAAATTTTAAAAAGTCTAACCAATTTTTTGTATTTAACTTGAATATGATTCTATTTTTAAAATGTTCACTGTTTTCTACTAACAATAAAAAGCATCTAATGTTTGATTTGGCGATCTCACATAATCCATATTCAAAAAATAAATAATAGAAGAGGTTTATTACCTAATGCTCGATCTTGATAATTTAATTTAGTTAATCGTTTGTATTCTCTAATTTCTACTTGATCACCTGTTGTGACCATTAAATCCTCTACAAGTCGTACTGTAGATTTTTCACCACATAAATGAATTCCTTTTGCTTGTAGACCTAATATAAATGAAAATAAAAAATTCAATAAAAAAAAAATATTTTTTTTTAATGTTACCAAGTAAAGCTCGTGTCCATGCCCAACCACGTTGTGGATCACGCATCATTTGAATTTCATCAATAACAGCTACCTCATCTATAATAAAAACAAAATATATATATCAAAAATTAATCTACACAAAATTTTATTTAATTTACAAACGGTAGTTAAATTCGTCATTTCAACTGTACATGCTACATGATTAGCTGGTTTTCCTTCAGGATCAGCAAATCGACGTTCTTCACCAGTAACCAGATCACATTTTGTACCCTACAGAAAAAAAAAACTTCTTTTTTTCCATGAAAAAAATCTAATAAAAATCTTTACTGCGCCATTAGTCTTAAAAAAAACTTCAGATGCTAATAATTTTAATGGTCCACAATAAACTCCACTTTCACTATTCATATAACGTTGAAGTGCATGATATGTCTAGTAAAAAAAAAACAACAAAAAGGTTTTATTTTATCCTCTTTTCTTATTTACAAATCATACTTTTCCACTATTTGTTGGACCAGCATGAAATATTATTTTTCTTTGTATAGCTCGTGCATCTGAATACCTAAAATATTGTTTTATTTCATTAAAAAAAAACATTTGATCTATTGAAAAATATTTTTTACCAATTAGCAGGATCTCTAAGATCACTAATCTTTTTCAAATCTTCCATACATGTTAAATGTGGAAACATTTCTTGTGCATGACGTAAAAAATAAGGAAATATATCTGTTACATGACCTTTTCAAATATAAAATAAGATTATTCAAAGAAAAACAAAAGAAAATCTTATACCAGGTCCAGATATAATATCACTGAACACAATATATAAATCAACAGGTAAAACTGTTGATTGAATACAAAATTTTCGAAAACTAACATAAGCATCTTGAAAACGACGATTATCAAGACCTTGATCAAGAGCTAATTTTTTTATTTCATCACGACGATAAAAGTCTGTTATGATACGAAGAAGTGCATCTTTAAAAAAAACAAAAACAACAAATATTCTCTTTTTTTCTTATAAAATTGAATTTTCGATTTTATCATACTTCGTTCAAGTGTTTTACCACCGGTTAATTCTTCACCAACATTTGTATCTACAATTTTTGATGATGTTGGATCAAGTTTATCGATAGTAGTCATTGGTTTAACATCAATTGGTTGAAAAAGTCGACGTAATATATTTGTTGGATTATGTGTTTTATTAGAATGTGTTCGATGATGATGATGAGAATGATGATGATGATGATAGAATGAAGATGATGATGTTCGATGTCGTTTATTATTACTATGACTTGATGTTGATGATAATTTAATAGAATATTCAGTGAGAATAGATGAATGTGATAATAAATGTCGATAGGAAATCGTTAGAAACATTCTGTTATTTATAGATAACATATTTAATAATCTAGAATAGAAGAATTAATTAATAATCTGTTTAAATAATAATTTAATACGTGATAGAACAATTTCATTTGTTCCTGAAATGTTTTCATGTTTATATGGAGAATTTATTTGAACAATACCATTTTGTATTAAAAGTGTTATAGAATTATTTTCTTCGAGTTTTTCTTGAAATGGTATTCGTTTTGATGAAAGAAATTTACGATTTTTTCCTAAACGATCACATATAGATTCATCTTGATTATCTATTGTTGAATTTGATGGTAAAAATGGATCTTTATTCAGTTGATGAGAAATATTTCGATCAAGAATTTTCAATGGAATAATATCAGGTCGTAGAACAATATGAACACGATTTGATGTATCATCGATTAGAACGATACTTAAAAGAAAAAAGAAGAAATATAATATATTGCTAAATTTCCGTAAAAATCATCAAGAGTTGATCTTAGTTGGAAATGTCGAAAAGAAAATGGAAATGTATAGCAAGAAAATGTTTAATAAATTGATTTCCATCAATCTCGATGTTTTGTACGATTCAATGTCTGAATTAGAACAATGTCAAAGTACTATTCTTTAGTTTGCATATACAATGTTAGGTTTTCCTTAGATTAGTTCATTAAAATATTCAGTAGATTTTACTTTGGAGATCTCTGAGAGAAAAATGCAGCGTTTTATTCATTGCCTGTAGGACTATGTAATTCGCCTATCGAACGTATTTGTTCGCTTCATCGAAGATTCAAATTGTTCCTTCAAAAAGAAAAGTCTGAATAAAAATCGAAGGGAGATAGAAATTAGTTCCTTGTAGTTGAATATTTCTTTTAGTTTACTTTAGATTCGACACGAGAGTGATTGGCAGATCTGAGAAATTCAAGCTCCAAGAAAACTGAACCGCTTTTCGTTTTTTTCAAAATAGATTAAGTGGATTTATATTCCGTTTTAATGTTATATTCGTGAAATTCTAATAACGGTCAAGATAAGCTACATTCACACGCTACATATAAAAGTGTATGTAACTTATTTTCATCGATTTGAACCAATCAGGTTCTATTCCATGTTTAACTCTTTTCTGTCCAAGTTTTGATGACAATGTGAATATGTCAATGATGTGCAATTTAAGTCAAAAGAAAATAAATCGTTATAAAAAATAAATCTTTGAATTAAAAATAAAATTAATCCTTAGTTCAATTGAGAATATGGCACAGGACTTAAAATAAGAAAGTAGTAGAAATTCATCTTGAGAAATCAATTGATTCACTTTTTTAGATAATTTTTTTTTGAAATTTTTTTAGTTTCAGTGCTGAATCGTATAGAAAGAAAAAAAAACTCTTTGCTGTTGAGACAATGTCTTCTGTTATATGACAATCTAAAGTGAATAATACTCAAATAGAATTTCATTCATTTCTTTATCTATTTTCATTAACGAGATATGATTATCATCAAAGCAGTAAAATAGTATAGTTCATCGTATAGACGTAATTTTGTTGGAATTGGTAGTTGATAATAGGAATAAGAAATGATTGACACGGTCGAGCATATTTGAGATTTCAACGCTAGATAATACTGGTAAAAAATATGAACGAATTTAATTCAATTCAACTTGTATACAGTGTGTAAAACAATTATTCAGACATCCTCTGATGCATTTCTCATGAAGGAAAAAAAAGAGAGAGAGAGAAAGTCCATGAGACGATCCAGCATTCACATAGTATGGATAAAGGAGCTACAGCATTTATTCCATCATTCTTTTTTTTATTTGATTACTTTTTGTGTTGAGGGTGGTATTACAATATCAAAACCTCTGAAATAAATCCTGGACATTTTAAGATATAGTTCATGAGGTAATCAAAGAAACGAGGCACCGGTTAAAATTTTAATTTTTGATTTTTTATCTGCGTTTAAACAACCGTCATCTGAAAGCACCAAATCAAAATTTTCAGCTCATTTGGATGTTCTATACTAAAGTTAACTTATATCGATTTTTGGCAGTATCTTTGTCGTCAGTTTTTGAAATGAAACAGAGTTAACTTTGGTTCATATCCCTAGTAAGAAAGTCAGCAACTGACACTCGGAGTCGTGATCATTGTTCCAAGTTTTATCGAATTGCATGATCATTATTTCATTATACCAAAACAACATTTTTCTCGAAATTTTCGTAGTCCCTCTCAAATGTATAGGGAAGTCGAAACTTTGTCTTTCTGTTTTCAAAAGAATTGTCTATGCCATTTTAACCAGAATGAAGTCCTATTTTCTTTGAGATAAAAATTTTCATCAATGATAGACATTGAAAAATCTCTAGGTTCTTTTTTCCTAAGATTGCTTACCTGGCTAGTGACAGTGTAAGCCTTATATCATCTCAAAGTTAAACGTTTTCTTTTTAATGTCTTTACGATTTTGTAGAGAATCAAAAGTTACACAATATATAAAAATTCCAGCTTGACTCCGTTTGATTTCAAAAACTGACAGCAGAGATACTGCCAAAAATCGGAAGTATAGAATGATAAATTGTGACATATCGGATTGTATAAATCCAGTAAATAGATAACACGTAATTTTTTAAATAGCTCTTTTTGCTTCAGCTTTTGATACTCTATCTTTTGGTATATTGCATGAAAAAGTTCTCTGACTTGTTGGCGTATAATCCTAGTAGACATTTATAGAATAATTTATGACTATTTTTTGATAATGCTGAAAAGTCGATATAAGTTAACTTTAGTATAGAACATCCAAATGAGCAAAAAATTTCGATTCGGTGCATTCAAATGATAGTCTTTAAAACGCAGATAAAAAAAAATCAAAAATTAAAATTTTACCTGGTGCTTTGTATACTAGTATACGAAGATATTCTAGAATATCTTGCACAACATTATTGTAACCCTTCCAATACCGCATGTCATCTCGTAGATGACATGCATATCATAATGTAGAAATTTTGCGTTCTGTTGTCTTCCTACATGATACATATCAAATACGTGTTCAAAGAAGCACGTGTATACTTCGCTGTGAAATTTTTTTTTCGCACTGAACTAGTGTAGCTAGAATTCGTGTACAGTTGTTTATGTAAAAGAGAACGCAAGAAAGAGAGAAATCTAGATTTTCTTCAACTTTGTATAGAATGAGAGAAAATGTCGGTATTGAAAGGACTAAACAAATTGTTTCTGGAATGGTAAAAATACATTAAAAAAGACAGAAGAAGTTCTTAGACTTTTCTTTTAAGGCTTATCTTCATAGTCTTGGTCTGGCGCATCGAGGTTTGAGAATAATTTAATTAGATGTGTGTTTTTTTGTTATTAGATCTTAAACCAGAAAAGCTTCTCATCACAAACAATAGTAAATAATACTTAATAAAAAAGAATTTCTTATTTTCTATAATCAGATACCATAAAAATTTGTGATTTTGGCTTATCTACATCATTTCGGAGTAAAATAACAGCAGATGCACGACTATTAGCCACATATTGCGGTACAAAGCTGTACATGGCACCTGAAGTAAGTGGACCATAATAAAGATAAATACAATATCATAAAAATTTATTTTAGATCTGGAATAAAGCACCATAGCGACGTGAGCCTGTGAACATATGGTGTTGTGGTATTATTTTAATAATAATACGAATGTAGGTGTGGATTGGGATGTGGTGGTGGGTGTGGATGTGGGTCTGGGTAAAAAAAGAAGAAACATCCAGCCACACCACACGACCCACCCCCACTCCCATCCCAATTCTATGAAAAAAGAAAATCAAAATTTTTCTATTTCTTATTTTTCAAATATAAATAACATTTAAAATAAATATATTGGATTATCAACAACATTTTTGCGTTTTTTTCAAAAATTTTATTTTTATGTTTCAACTCCAACGGTACAACTAGCTTTCAATTATATATGCACCACTACTATCTATCACTTGTCCCCGACGTTCTGGCATCTACACTGGAAACAAAATGAAATTGTTGTATCTGTCGAATAATTTTTGCACAAGAGAAATATAATGAGAAATACATGAAGACACTCATCAAATGCTCTACTGCTATCATTATTGTCTCTCTTAGAAAATACTTCATTTCATTCTAATTAAATGACATTACTTCATAGAGAGTACTTTGTCAGGTAATTAAAAACAGTTACCGCTTTCATTCAACGATGTCAAAATACTCATCAATAATTCAATTAAGAAAGTGGAACATGTAAAGGCAATAACATTCATTAAATCTAAACAAAAAATGCCTCTTTAATCTAATACTTTGTCTGATATACAGTTTCGTATAAAAATCTAGAAATAATATTGCTTTTACATTACAGTTGTTTGTTCAAAATGTTTATAATGATGAATTTTGTTTTCATCGATAAATCTTGAAAATTTAAAGAGTACAAATATGATATACTCTATCATTAGGAGACTATTTTGTGATGAATTCATAGCTGTTTATATATTCATTACTATATCGACGAATATGACAATATAAATTAATACACATCATTCATAGTTTGTTATGTACAAGTTGATACATTTTGGACGAAAATCAGGTAAATCCTGAGAAGCACTATATTCCAATGAAAATAATTTGAAATGAAAGAAATTCATCAATCTTAAATGTGTAGAAATTTCAATTTTTGCACAACTAACATTTCTTTAAAGAAAAGTCGAAAAACTATACGTGAAAAAAGTTTACGCAAAAATTTCTCAGAAATTTCTCAAATACATATATATTGAAGATAATGAAGATGTCCAATAAAAATTATATTGTTCAGTAGAGAGACAAACTCTATCTGATTCTATATAATTTAGACATGTATATATATTTCAGACATTCTTAAAATAAAGATCACATTTTTTAAAAACAAAACACACCTATTTTTTAAGTTACTCGAGTTGATAAATTCTCTTGTCTTGTATTCTTATTTGAAGACGAGCAATGTGAAGGAGAAACACAACACCCTATATATATGTAACATGAAAATTTTTTTTCGTCGACGATGACATGATATAGATGTATGTCAGACGAGAAAAAAAAATCATCAAATCAATTAAAACAGAAGTGGAATGATTGATAAAAAATCAATCAAAATTTTGAACATCGGTCAATTAATCTCAGGGTATATAAAAACATGCATACATCATTATGAAACATTATACACTCGAGTTGTATTATTATAATGCATTACAATGTATTTATATACCCGGGATTATTATTTATTATTACTATTATATTATTTACAATGATAATTATATTATTAAATTCTATATGAGGTAAATAATAAATTCATTATATATTTAATAATACTTTTTTTTTCTTTTTTTTTTAGATGAGTTTCGATACTATACAATATTGAGAAGTAGAAAAAAAAATTTTTACATATTCAGTTGAGTTGAGTTGAGATAAGTTATTTTGAGAAAAAATAAATACTATTAGTTATTATGAGTATGAGTATGAGTACTTTTGAGATGAGATGAGTTGAGTTATGAATGTTATTAGTGTGGGTCAGAGAACTACGTTGTCTGATTCAATAGGTAGAGAAACTTTGCCATAGCAAAGCAGTGTAGTGCTAGGGAAGGCCTCTATGTGTCGTTGGTCCCTATCGTTCATACGGCATACCTTCGGCCATTGCCCTACTAGTCCGGCGTGGTCCGCCTGTGGTACCTATGGCATTGACAAGGGATCTCTCCCTTGTCGCGCGCGCGCGGATAAGTCAAAATGAGCTGAGAAAAATCGAAATGATTAGCAATGTGAATAAATTTATTGAGCAAGCGAAAAGAAAAAATTACAGTTACATTTTCTTTTTTACATTGCCAATTGAGTTTGTGACCATTATAATATAAGGATGGTTAGGTGGAAGTGATTTTTGCAAGATAGAAAGTGCCTTTTCTAAGAATGAGAATGCTTTCGAGTAGTCTCCTTTGCCGGAATACGCCAAACCAATGTTATTGTAGAGAGTAGCCAAATCGGGATGATTCGAAGGCAGAGCTTTTTCTCTTATTTTAAGTGCTTTCTCGTAAAATTCAAGTGCTTTCGAGTAGTCACCCATGTTTCTATACACGTCACCGATGTTGTTGTATGAAGTAGCCAAATCGGGATGATTCGGAGGCAGAGCATTTTCGTAGATTTTAAGTGATTTTTCGTAAAATTCAAGTGCTTTCGAGTAGTCACCCATGTTTCTATACACTCCACCGATGTTGTTGTAGGAACCAGCCAAATTGGGATGGTTCGAAGGCAGAGCTTTTTCTCTTATTTTAAGTGATTTTTCGTAAAA